TTGAGGGGGTGGGGTGGGGGTTGAGGGGGTGTTTGGCCCTTTAATGGGGGCTGGGGGTTCCAAAAAGAGCGTCTTGGGGGCTGGAGGGGCCTGAGGGGGTGGGGGGCCCTAAAATAGGGGTGGGAGGGTTCAAGTGGGTGATGACCCCCAAAAATAGGGGCTTGAGAGCCTGGATGGAATAAGGAGGTGGTGGAGCCCAAAAATAGGGGCAGGAGGACTTGGGGATCCCTAAAAGAGGGTGTTGGGGGGACTTAAGGGGCTAGAGGAGCTCAGGGGCCTGGGGGACTCAAAAACAAGGGCTGGGGGGGCTCAGGGGTCTCGTTGGGGTTAGGAGAGACCCCCTGGAATGGGGCAGGGGGGGGCTGAGGGTCTGGTGGGCCCCCAAAATGGAGGCTGTGGGGTCTCAGGGACCAGGGGGGTGTTTTGAGGTGTCAGGGACTCCCTGGAGCTTTGGGGGTCCCAGGGGAGCAGTTTGGAGTTTTGGAGACTCCCTGGATCTTTGGGGGCCCCAGGGGAGCAGTTTGGGGTTTTGGAGACTCCGTGGAGCTTTTGGGGTCCCAGGGGAGCAGTTTGGGGTTTTGGAGACTCCCTGGAGCTTTTGGGTTCCCAGGGGAGCAGTTTGGGGTTTTGGAGACTCTGTGGATCTTTCAGGGTCCCAGGGGAGCAGTTTGGGGTTTTGGAGACTCCCTGGAGCTTTGGGGGTCCCAGGGGAGCAGTTTGGGGTTTTGGAGACTCCCTGGAGCTTTTGGGGTCCCAGAGATCCCACGTCAGAGCTCTGGGGGGTCAGAGTGTGTCCAGTGGGGGGTTCAGGGGGGTCCAGCCCCCCCGTGACCCCCCTGTGTCCTTCCAGTCCCCGAAGGAGCCGGAGCAGCTCCGGAAGCTTTTCATCGGCGGCCTCAGCTTTGAAACCACAGACGAGAGCCTGAGGAGCCACTTCGAGCAGTGGGGGACCCTGAGATGGGGGGGAAAACTGAGATGTGAAGGGCTGGGGGGGCCCAGACCCCAATAGGGGGGCTCAGAGAGGTACAGGGGGCTGGGGGCTTAGGGAGGAGTGTGGGACCCCAATGGAGAGGGACACTGAGAGCTTCTGGGGGGGCTCAGACCCCAGTGGAGGAAGGCTTTTAGGGACACCTCCTGGGGGTCACCAAAATCTCTGGTGGCCTCTGAGGTCACCAAAGCCCTGGTGGCCCCTGGAGGACACAGTATGGGGTCCCCAAAATCCCATGGTCTGGGATCCCCAAAACCTCGATGTTCTCAGGGGCTGCCAAAACCCTGGTGTGCCCTGGGGTCACCAAAAATCCCTGTGTGCCTTGGGGACATATCCAGGACGTCCTTAAAATCCTGAGGTCACCAAAATCCCTGTGGCCCTTGGGGATGTCTCCAGGGGGTCCCTAAAATCCCGAGGCCACCAAAATCTCAGGTCACCAAAACCCTGGTGTTCCCTGGCGTCCCCAAAATCCCTGTGGCCCTTGGGGACACCTCCAGGGTGTCCCTAAAATCCCAAGGCCACCAAAATCTCAGGTCACCAAAACCCTGGTGTTCCCTGGGGTCCCCAAAATCCCTGTGGCCCTTGGGGATGTCTCCAGGGTGTCCCTAAAATCCCGAGGCCACCAAAATCTCAGGTCACCAAAACCCTGGTGTTCCCTGGGGTCCCCAAAATCCCTGCGGCCCTTGGGGACACCTCCAGGGCGTCCCTAAAATCCTGAGGTCACTAAAATCCCAGTGGCACTTGGTGACACCTCCCAAAGCCCCGGTGCCCCCCACGGTTCCGGGGTGTCCTCCGAGCTTTCCCACCCGCCCCCTTCCCTGATTTTTGCCCTGTCTCTCCCAGGACTCCCAGCGGCCCGGCGCCCACCTGACGGTGAAGAAGATCTTCGTGGGGGGCATCAAGGAGGACACGGAGGAGCATCACCTGCGGGACTATTTCGGGCAGTACGGCAAGATCGAGGTCATCGAGATCATGACCGACCGCGGCAGCGGCAAAAAGCGCGGCTTCGCCTTCGTCACCTTCGACGACCACGACTCGGTCGACAAGATCGTCAGTGAGTCCTCCTGGGGGGCCTTGGGGGGCCCTGGGGCTGTG